AGCTCACCTAGGAAAGATTCATTTTAAAACGAGTCTGGATTTCTGGATTTTTCTGCTGGTGAAGAACCTTGCTTTTGTTAGAAGCACTGAGCTTTGGCTCCCACGGATCCTAATGGGCCTGCTGCCACTGCTCCCTGCCCTGGTTTGGCAATACGCCGTGGGATCATCATTGTTTAGAGGTAGATATGTGGGCACCTGTAGGAGACAGTTAGTCTCTGCTTGGCTGGACACAGCAGGGGATGTGTTCCCGTGGTGCTGGAGTCCCACAGTATTTGGGACTTAACCACAGTTAAGCTGATTGCCACCAAGGAGGCATTGGGAGCTCTAAACCTGAGACATAAATGCTGGTGTTTACACCTGACAATTAGCACCACATGAAAGCTGGCATAATGAGCCTACAAGAGCATCTCCGGTCTAATTTTGAAGCTGGGTGTCTGTCGTTCTCAGCCATCATTGATAAAGTGTCTTCATGCCAACCTGTGCATCTGCAGACAGACAGCTCCGTGTGGCTCTGGGATCTGCCTTCAGGCTGCCTGTGAAATTGTCATCGGGGACAACTCTTGAAGCAGAGCAAATCCTTCAGCAAAGCTCTTCCAGAGAGTGTCACGTGGAGATACCAGCAATGGTTGGATAATAGGTTTGACTACTAAAGCTGGCCAGGAATTCTCCTGGAAGATTTTCTTTTTTCCTTTTTCTTTTTTTCTCTTTTTTTCAAAAAAAAAAATCAATGTGAACCATCTTCATTTCCTTGAACTCTTTGTCTTTTGGTGAAAGCTTGCTTGATAGAGACTTCTGCAGGACTGAGATGGGATGCAAGACCTCTGCCACCTTTGTTCAGATGAGAATAAGAACCACTCCACCTTGCTCTAGGTCAGGGATGTTTGTTCAAGTCTGTGCCTTGCCAGATTATGCATGACCTCGGGTCTCCTATACCTTGGTGAGTGCCTGCCTGTGCTCACTGAGCACTGCCTCACGTGTCCTGTGTCCTTGCAAGGAGGACCCTGCTGTCACAGCCAGGAAAGAGAACGGATCTAAAGCCTTCCTGACGGCACAGGCGGACACCCCAGCCTCCACACCTTCCCTTCCCATCCTCTCTGGCTCCTGTAATTCTGGTGGGAGATCTTCAAAAGCTTGTGCCTTTCATCCCTGAAGTGGGAAGGGTTTTATTTATTTTGGTAATCTGAAAGTTAAGTGGGTGGGAAGATAAGGCTGCAGCCCCACTGTTTGTCACATGGGCCCAGCTCTTGTTTCCCCTTGAGAGGAGCAGAGCAGATGGAAGGCAGAGATGAAATGAAGATCAAAAGTAAACAGTATGATTAAGTTTTTGGTAAAAGGATAAAACACTTATCACATCAAAGCTGATGAAAAACACATTAAACGTTTCCTGAACGTTTTGTGTCCACGCAAGCATTAACCGCACTTGCTACAGGGACGTTTGCGATGCCAGGCAGTGGAGTTGGAGAACGCTGCTGGGGTATTTACCTTGCAGTGGAGTTGCAGAACGCTGCTCAGGTATTTACCTCTGTGGCCCTGCCGTGGTCACCAGCTGGCAGGAGGCAGGCAGAGCTGGCAGCCTCTCAGCCCTTTCTCCAAGTCATGCCCTGCTCATTTTTCCAGGTGGGTGCTGCTTTCCCAAAGGTTTTAAGACACTTTTACCTGCAGATCGGTGCGGAGTTTGTGGGTGGCTTCTCTCCCAAGCACTGGTGATTGGCTCCTTGTTTTGGCTCAATGAATCAAGTCCTTAAATATTTTGTGTAAACAGCATAATTTGTAGTGAGAAGTGTCTGTGGGCTACCTGCTTTCATCAGTGTGTTGAAATATGGTGGAGTCTGGGGCTGCCTCTGGGATGTTATTTCCAGATAAAGTAGAAAAAGGGTTTTATACCCAACATGGACTTTTTTTTTACAAATATCTTATGATCTGGATTTTTTACTTGTTATGGTTTATACTAAAAAGGAAGGTTTCACTCCCTCATGTGATATTCTCTCCGTAGTTAAAATATAGCCAAGAAATGGGGAAAGACTGCACTGGTTTGAGAGAGACGTATCAGAATCACAGAGAAGTTGATCAGAAGAGACCTCTTTTGTGGTCTCTGGTCCAAGCTCCTCCAACCCTCTGAGCAGGATTAACTGCAAACTTTGCTCTGGGTGCTTGGAGCCTCGTCTGTCTGAGTTCTGAAAATCTCCCAGGATGGAGACTGAACATCCTCCTCCCCAGGTCCCTGTTCCAGTTGCAGGCTGCACTCAGGAGGATTTTCTCTTAGTCCAGCAGGAGTTTCCCTCCTGCAGCCTGTGGTTGGTGCCTTTCAGCTTGCTGTACTCCTGAGAGGGGCTGGCTCTGCCTACACTGGCTCTGCTTTGGGAAAGACCGCTTTGGAAGCTGCATGAACAGAAAAAGGAACAAGGTGTGGCCAGCAGGAAAGTCACCGTCCTAAACTCCTGTCTGCAGAATGCCAGCATTAGTTCTTACCAAAATGAGGAGTTCAGGGGGATTTGGTCTCTGGAGAGTTGGTCTTCATCCTGCTCTGAGGGTAACGGTGTCAGACAACAGTGAGCCAAAACTCATGAAGTTAAACCTTCAGGTTTACAACAAAGGCAAGTCATATATGCCAGAGGTGTCACTGCCTCAGCAACGTTTGTGCAGCTGGTTTTATTCAGTTCAAAAAAGAAAAGATAACTTTTAAAAAAGTATTACGATGCATTTCAGCGAGATTTCTCTTGTAATGAGATGCAAAAGTTCAGGCAATATCCTGTTTAGATATGTTTCTATTTGATAATAAAAAGTGGCGCTGACAGTGAGGGATTGCACTGCATAAATCATTACTTTGGGTTTTGTTTTACACCGAGGCCAGGATGTGCCCTGTAAGTTCGCAGCTGGTTTAACTTTTTCTTTTTGTCGCCTAGACAGCTATATGTCCGTAAGATTTATTTCTTGATCTATATGGACATGTAATCTTTCTTGGGATTATTGCCATAGAAACAAGATGTAACACGGAGCGTGGTGGAAGTAACAAATGGGATTTGGCAGTCTCTCCCATTTACTACACGGCGCCTGAGCTGTGTACAAAAAGCAGCAATTACTTGCTCTCAAAGCCTTATTAACAGGCACATCTGCACGATCATTAAAACTGGATACTTCAACTTTCCTTCTGCCTGGGATGACATTGAGACGTTACGGTCCTTACACTAAAATCCCCGCCACCTCCTTTGGGGTGCAGTTGAGGCAGGGATTTGTTCCCCAGCCCTGCTCCCGGCCTCCCAGACGATGCCGTAACCCCGATACTGGCTCTGGGGGAACGATCCCTCCTTTGAAGGGGGAAGCCACCCCGGTTTTGCTCGTACAGCCTGATCTCCTGCTGTGCTGGGGCGCAGCTCCCGGCATCTCCTGGGGCATCGCAGCCGGCCTGGCTTACAGGCGCTGCCTTCCCCTTCTCACTGCTCAGCATCGCTCCGAGCTGGCAGCTCACAGCAGCCTGAGCCTGGGGGAGTAGCTGGGTTGTGCCGGGCTGAGAGGTGCTTCTGTGTGCAGGGCTCTTCGGAGGAGTAACTACGAAGTGCCGTGCATGGGACTGAAGCTGAGCCGGCTGCCAGAGGCCCAGCGCGCCCTGTGAGCGTGAGGGAGAAACGTGAGGTCTGTAAGCCAAAGCCACGGGGCAGCTCTGGAAGTTGTGTGGGATGGTAAAGAGGCAGAAAACGAGATGGAGCAGGGTGAAGGAAACGGCAGAGAAGGATGCCAGAAAATAAGGTGTATCCGGTGAGTGCCTGAGGCCGAGCAGCAGCAGGCAGGACGAGCTGTCACAGCAGGCAGTGTCAGCCCGTGGCCCTGTGCCTCCCTGCGTGGGAGGTGGATGCTGGCCCTGCAGGCCATGGGGTGCAGATCCTGCTCTTCCAGCAGGCAGAGGTTATGCTTAGGAGGGAGAGCTGCAGTCCTGGGAGATGTTTTGTAGCCGCTCAGGGGAGCAGAGGTTGGCTCAAGGACTCCTCCCTTTTGTCATCTCTTTCCCATCCTCCCTCTTGTCGAGTTAAATCAAATTTTGAAGCCAATCGTCAGGTCACAGGGGGTTTGTGTGTTCAAAGAACCTTGTTCTGGATGATGCATTTGCTGACCTGGGAGTGAGTGCACGCTGTCCTTGTCCCAGCCCCTGTCCTGCAGCCCAGCCTCTAGCCGAGAGCAGAGCTTTGGGGGGGCATTTCAGAGACAGCTGGAGATGCTTTAAAGCCCTCAGGGCAAAATCTGTCCTCTCCCTGCACCAACTCAGAAACAAAAAACTACTTTGCTGAACAGAAGAAACGCTTAAAGCTGATTGTAAACCACAAAATTGAGGTAGAGCCCAGAATGCAACCCGGACAGCCCAGAGAACTGACATACAGGGAGCTTGAAACTGGGCTACGTGCTATGAGTTTGCCTGGCCTCGTTTTCAAAGGTGCTGAGGACTCTGCAGCTCTAGTGAAGCTGATGGCTGCTCAGGATCTTTCTGAAGCATATACTTAGTACCTAAGTATAGATCTGGGGCTGACTAGCTTCAGGCTCCAAAAACAGTGCAGGTGTCTGCCTTCTTCCTCTTCCTTGTTCCTCTCTTCTTTGCCCTTTAATCCCTTTATCAACTCCCACATTCTCTGTTTCTCCAACGCTTTCTATTTTTCCATCCTCCTGCATTTGATTTCTGCTCCTGCTGCTATCACTTGCTCACTCTGATGGCTCTCCTGTCCCATAGGAGCCACGGAGCATTTCACAAGGCTCTTCCTGAGCCAAACCCAGGCTGGCACCCCCTTTTCTCTCCCTCTCATCCTAAATCCAAAGGTGTAAATCAAAACATTTTCCTGTGTATTTCCCATTGCAGGTGTGATCTGCCAATGACAACTCTAAAAGATGATATAATGAAGAGTGAATGTGAAAAGGAAGCTCTCATTATTAGCTTCTGGTTTTCAAACCAACCTGAAGACAGCTGTGTCGGTGAACCTGAAGGGTCTTTGCCTGATGTGAGCTTTTCTCTGTTGCAGGAAGGCATGCCCCAAACGCTGACTTCTACCAGTATGTTTACCCCATGTAGCTTCAGCCCTCATCTACATACTGCAAAAGAAGATGAACAAGGAGGACTGATCTTCCAGGATGGAAACCTTACCTCAGCATCTCTGGATGCTCTAATCCAGCATCTCATACCTACCACTGATTACTACCCTGAAGTAAGCCATTCACAGTACAATAAACAGTTTATTTTTGATGAATTGGGACTGTGCTTTATGCAAAAGTGCAAATGTCTTCAATTTTGAATTAAGAGGGTTTATGTAAAGGCTGGGTATGTAAATGAATTGCTTTAAATGCTGTTTTACTGTTCTGCATTTGTTTCCATGAAAAAGTAGATCCCAAAGTTGATGCTGCCTGTAAGTGAGAGAACAGGGCAGGGGGAGAAGCTGTGGCGATGATGAATTAGTGATTTATCGGTAGGAGCACTGCAAAAATAGCAGAGCATCCCAGGGAGATTTAGATGAAGACTGAAGCAAAAAACTTCAAACCCGAACTGGCATTAAATTAGCTGAATTTCAGGAGCTGCTGAAGTCATCCAGGTTTCACTGCAGGTACGAAACAGTCCCTCAGTGAGAACAGAAACGCTGCTTCTGGTGGCTTCTTAATTTACCTGGGGTTATGATCACAGCGACTTTGCAGTCACTGGACAGCAGGATCCGGACCATAATCCTCTCTCCATCAGTGAATATTCAATGTTTCTCCATCAGCAGTGTGAGGATTTGAACTGTGAGCAGGTTTATGGTCCTGAAAGCCATTGACTTCACTGGATTTTGCACATACTCAGTGGAATTCATCACAGAATTTTACTGGAAGACTTTCAAGTACTAATACGTCTCTGCGGAAAGGCTTGTGTTTCAAAGCACCGGAGCAGCATTGACTTCTGGGCAGTTCAGAGAATTCCTAAAGTTATCAATGCAGAGCAGACAGCGTGTTTTAAATTACCCGCAGCTCCGTTTCTGATCAGCTAAAAATAAGTAATAAAGAAACATGTTAATTAAAAAAGAACAGAAAGGCAATAAAAATAGGTAATGGCCAGATTAGTCTGTGAGATTTTCATTAAGGAATGTGTGATAGGAAATACTGCACCCGCTGCTCAGGAGCATGGCGAGGTCTGGGGGAAAGAAGATAATCCAGGCACCAGGGCGGGTTGGGAAGCAAATGACTGAGGATCCATGCGTATATTTTAATTTCACTGCAGAAATGCTTTAAATAATCCAAGGATTTATCCAACAGGCCTGCTTCCTTCAGGTTTACAGATGTGAGGCTGCATGTGGTGTAGTTTAGCTGGTAGAAATGTATTTTGGGGAGTTGGGAGAATAAATGAAATGTTCCCTGAAGGAGGCAGAGTGAGACCTTCAGGGCAGTAACCAAATGTGATTCATGTAGGGGTTTCTGAGCTCGCAGCCCAGTACAGCACTGGGATGCCTGAGTTTACACGATCAGCTTCCAGTGGTCTCTGTGCATTCCTGGTGGTGCTGTCTCCAATACCTGGGCCAGCTCCTGTAGAGAAACCTACACACAGTCTTCGTTGCACCTTTGCACAGGGTTTGGGCAAGCAAAGTTTGGACATGGATGCTGTGGAGGTAGGAGCTACCGCTGCCTCCTGTGCCCACTGCAACCAATTCTGTTTGTAGGGGCCAGGAATCGATGGCTTTTAGACACACAGCTCTGTTCTGTCTGTGCCAGTGGGAATAAAACCATGGAGTTCAGGGCTTTTATGACTAATATTACCCACTGAGTGGCTGGCTTACAGCAGGTGTGCTTGACTTTCTTCCACAGAAAGCCTACATCTTTACATTCCTGCTGAGTTCCAGACTCTTCATCGAACCCCATGAGCTTTTGTCCCGAGTTTGTCACAAGTGCATTGAGCAGCAGCGGCTGGATGACCCCGTGCTGGACAAGGTTAGTCCATCGTTACATCAGAAGAATGTGAGGCATTTTCAACAGACAGAGTTCTGGGGCTCTGGTTTGTGGCTTTGCCTCCCTTTGGATTGAATGAAACTTTTTCCTAAGTGTGACAGTTGTTGTTGAGATCCTGACACTGAGGCATCTTAGTACCCATGTCCCAGAGCAGCGCTCCAGCCACTAATCACTTCAGATCTTCTAATTTTCCTTTCCCACTGTCTCAGCCTTCCCAGGTGACTTTCCTTCCTAACTTCTTTAAGGCTTTGAAGCCTGCAGGATGCCAGGAGGTAGGACATAAACCTCACACACTGTCAATTGCAGGTGGCGGCACACTGCTCCCTCTCCCATTTTTACTTAATGCATCTGACCTTTTTATTTCGTGCTTCTGGTACAGTATGTAACAGTTCCCTTTGGCCTTACCTGTCACTGTGAACGCCACGTACCAGCGTGCAGCTACCCACTAACCTCCCGCTGCCAGCACTGACAGATTGTCTGCACAGCCGTGCTGCAGAGCGGCGCTGTCTGGCACACCAGGAGCGAGCTGAAGCAGTACTGAGGCTGTGACAAGCTGACAGAATGAGCAAATCCAAGCTGTTAGTGCGTCACTGCTCCTCCTGTTTTGCCCTAGCGACTCTGCAGACCAGTACAGTGTTTACCAACACGCTTGCATTTTCTGGCAGTCCCACAGGCACTGTGATACAGCTGGATCCCACTGGATCGCATTGAGAGTCTCAGTGCAAGATGGAGGACCTCTCCGGTATGCTACCTGGAGCAGGAGATGAATCTTGAGTGCAGTGGAGAGGAGAAGAACATGCACCAGTTGCAATTTTCCAAAAAAAGAACCCAAAATTCTGGCATGATTTTCAGGATTAGCTTTCCCAGCTTTGAAACACGATGTTTTTGGCATCAGTGTTCAATCACCAACATCTGAGTGTGCGTGCTTCTTTTGGCCTGTGAAAACCTGAGCAACTGGTTGCATGAGGAGCAGGAGCTATGCCTTCACTGCACGGTACAATCAGCCAGACTGCATAGAAGTCCGGCATTTAGGTTGCACATACAATGTGAGTTGGAAATACCTGTGTGAGGTGCAGCATGCAGAACAGTTTTTCTGAGGTATGATGGATTCTGTTCTCTGATGCTATGCCAGATGCAAATTTAGGAGGATTAAAAATGTGAGCATTCCAAAGTTTTGCTGCTTATTAAACCTTGCAAGAATATGAGAAACATGATCTTATTATGATCTCAAATCTGTCTAAAGTGAATCTGCATTTTGGATGTTCCTGTAGTAATGCACAGTTGGTGGGACAGCTGATTTTGTGTTACTGAGAGTGGGGCTGACTTTGAAACTGCACATCAGTGACCTCCCATCCCCTGAGCCATGTCCTCTGACTTGCACCACGTCCTCTCCTTCCACTCGTAATAGCAGTTTATACAGCTGGAGCAAATGTCTCCCCAGACCTTTGTAGTTTCCAATAAAGCTTTCCCTTTAGCAGCCACCTGCTGGTCTTTGAGCATGAGCTTAATGCTAGCTGACAGCAGTTATTTTTAGAGATGTGGTTCATTGAAACCTGTTGTTGGTGGAAAGCTGAAATACGCGTTTCAACCACCTTGGTTAAAAAGCAGGGAGCTCTAGAGTATAATTTTTCCTGATTACAGGGTACACTTTAGCTACAGTACGTAAGATGCAAAAGAAGGCTGTTTGTTTGGGTCTGTGTTTTCTGTAAATAAAAATGCAGTTTGTTGTTTAACGCAATTTCCTTTTCCCATGTTCTTGGATAATGGAGGATGAAAGCTTTGGAAGCAGCTGCACTGGCAGTCTGTTGAGATAATGCTAAGGCACCAATTGTAGCTGTTCCCCATATTTCCCTCCTTGTTCTGTATCATCCCGACTATTCTGCTGCTGAATCCTCAGATAAATCTACACCCAAAGCAAAGTGGGCACCAGCTGTGTGTTCTGTTAGTGGGTGTCCTTATCCTGTCATGACCTTGAGCTCATGTGGGAAGAGCACAACGTTGTCAGTAGTCCAGGTAGAGTTACTAAGGGCTGGTGTTTTGTCCGTCTGTTCTTCCTCATATTACATATGCCACCGGTCACTAAGCAGTTTTTTCATCCTCACAGAAAGGAAAGAAGCAAAAGACTCACCACTTTGTTGGGCAAGAGATACATGATAATCAATTTTTTCGGGAAAGGATGAAAGCATAGGAGGGCTGTAAGTTCAAAGGAGAAGAACACATGGTTCAAATCAACCAAAAGGCCAGTTGGTTTCAAAAAAGGTACAAAGGTTGCACCCACAAAATGTCCAGCCAACTACAAAGTGGCCAATTGCATGTGCAGAATACTTAAATCTGCATGTAAACCAGGTTGTTGCGCATGCATCTAAGTCCTGGTATATTTGCATGCCAAAATGTGTCATTTGTGCAACATGCCATTAGTTTGCATGTGTGCAGATTTTGCAGGTGCAACTCTAAGTGTCTTCTTTGAAAATCTGGCCCCACATTCAGTAAGATATGTATTTGCTGGGACTTTAAAGAATAAACCCATTTCAATCCCTGTGCATCATTCTGGTTTCCATTTCAGGCACGAATCAGAAAATTCGGACCCAAAATCTTACAGTTGCTGACAGAGTGGACAGAAACATTCCCGTATGACTTTCAGGAAGAGCGGATGATCGGCCATCTGAAAGACATGATTCACAGGATAGCCCCATGTGATGAGGTGAGGACAGCTGACTTGTGACACTGTGTGGAAGAGTTTGGTTCATTTTCCCACAAGGTTCTTCCTTTTCCTCCTGATGTTTGCCACTTTTCTAGGAACTCTGCCTTGGAACTCTCACGGTTTTGTTCTCCTCTAGTGGTTAAAACCTGTAGTAGCTTCCCTGAAAGCCACATCTCTTGGTGTAGGTACTCCTGTGGTAGTAACACAGGGAAACATCAGAGTAATCAATGGGACTCATCTACTGCATATTCCTCATTTACAGACGGGAGATCTGATAGATAGCATAGACTGAAAGTGGTGCTTAGAATTCAAATAGCAACAGAGGTGTGATCTCCCAAATTATAGCCTAGCAGAGGAGTGAAATATCATGACCATCCTGCCCAAGCAATGGCTTAGGGAGCACTTCAGGATGTGGAACAAGCATCTCATCATCAATTGACAGTATGGAACTAAAAAAAGATGATAAGTTGCTTAAAGGTGCCTGAAAGGCTTCCTATCTCTAAGTGAGTGGTTGTGAAAGTAGAACCATTTTTCATTCCTTACCTTACATGTCTTCAATCTGGTAACTGTCTTGAAACAATCTTTGCATTTTCTCATCTTTTTCATTAGTGAATCTAACAAGGGTTCAATTTGCACACTTCTGTCCTGCGTGAAGGAGTTCACAGGCCCTGTGCTTGAGCTGGTTGATATGGTAAAGCTGGCACCCGGACGGAAGGCAGACAGTCACAGAACGGCAGACAATGCCACTGGGATCCCCATCAAAGTCCATATATCTGTGGGCCAAAATGTAGCTCCTGTTGAATCCTGTCTGTTTTGCTGATACAGCGAGATTGCAAGGGACAGTTCCTACCTTTAACAAAAATAAAAATGGTTATGGGCATGTAGCTTCTCTGGGTGTATAAAAGTGGCAGAAGACAGCAGTTTATTGCCCTCTGGGCAGAAAATCAGCCTATATAGTTACGTGGTCTTGGTGTTCAATTACATGAGCTGCGTGTGGCAGAGCAGGACACAGTCAACAGCACATCTGTGAGGCCTGCTTCCAAATTCAGGTGGGTGAACTCCGTAAATTAATTCAGAAACATTAAAAGTACCGCAAAGTCCATGAAAATAACAAGGATAAGAGTAAATAGCGCATAGAGAGTTTCTAATTACTTCTAGGTTAACCATGGGATGTGGAAGGACTCAGGTCCCCCTGCAGCACCAGGGTCAGGCCACAGATGTGTGCAACTCAGTGTAACAAGAGGCACGATGCCCATTAGGGCAAGAGAGGGAGGGTGGAGAGAAAAAGAGAAAAAATCAGTGGAGTTGCAGCAAAACGGAAATGAAATTGAGCCCTCCTACCCACATGAAACAAGAGAAATGGAAACAGCTGCTCTTGGGCTGGGCTGGCATCACAGCTGGCACTTTTGGGCAGGCTCTCGGCTGGCACAGCTCGGCTGGACCAGCCTGCGGGAGAGATGGGTGGGAAGGGGAAGCTGTGTGACACTTCTCTGGAGGTGAAGGAAACAAAAAGGGCTCCCAGAAGGGACCCAAATCCATTGAGCTGAGAGTCAAAATTCTTCTTCAAGGGAAACAAGCAATGAGCTTGCTCCTGCCAACCGCCAAGAAAGGCACCAGCATCTGAACTGTACAGACTTACCAACATCATGTCTACATGTACTGGAAAGAAGCAACCAGCCAACGGGGCAGACAGCAGGGATTTAACGGGTGTGGAGAAAACCGTTTTAAAAGGCAGCTGCTTTGTGCTAAGTACCTGCCCCGGTAAAGAGAAGTAAATGGTACAAATCAACCTTCTGCATACAAAGCAGTAATTTATTTGCCTAACCTGGGCAGATGCTGTGCACCTTTGCTTTGGAGCATGCACAGATGAGCAATGACGTTCTTGGGTGCTCTGGGGGGCCTCAGACTGGATTAGGTTCAAATCATTGTTTTTCAAATACTACTAGGAACTATAATTGCAAGTAATTATGCCTGAGCGAAATCAATAATTAATTTAAGGAACAGCTCGTATCCTGCAGATGCAAATTTCTTTTTTTTTTAAGGGGCAGCACGAAAGAGTGGTGGTGCCCATTAGTTGTTTGGAAAAAAAAGTTGTTCCCATGGCGGATGAGAGAAATTAAAGATTGAAAGATTTGTGAGGTCATCTAGTCCATGTAGGTTAATGCAGGATTTTCCCCCCGCAGTGTGTGCTTCTGTCCTTTGTGTCGTCCAGAGGCTCCGTGATGTGCTTAGGAAGGTGTCCATGCTGAGAAGCATTTCTTACTAAGTGCTGTGATTTGCATTTAGAGTTGGAAATTTTAATTAAAATTTGAGCTCCTAAGCCACCTGCTGAGGCCTGCCATCTTCAGAGTAACTTTCCCAGTAAAGAATGAAACATTTTCTTTAAATATTAAACAGTAGCAGGCTTCTTTTGACTGTTAATGTGGCAATGAAGTGAAATAGGTTGACAGAGTCCCACACGCCGCTCCTGTTCAAGGGGGGTCACTTGGTGGCAAGGTAATTATCAGCACTGTTGAAGGTAATGAACAATGTTGTTTTCACCTACCGAACATAGTTTAAAGGAGGCAGGAAATACTTTTAAAAGGGCAAAAGCAGTTTTTAATTTTATTTATTTATTTCTTCCCTAATACAGGAAAAGGTTTCTGGGTGAGTCTCTCAAGAGCTCTCTTCTATGAATAATCTTTTTTATGTCCACTAACTCTTATTTCATTATGTTATCTGGTTGGCTTACCCAAATCTTTGCCTATTGTTGCCTATATCAATTTTTTGTGCTGTGTTCCCTATGATGCTAGATGAAACTAGATCTCTTGATGATGGTGTATTGAAAGACTTGCTAAATATTCATGTCTTTCAACGAATTCTGCTGCTTTTTGGCTTTTCATCCAAACAGTGAGGACTGATACTGCACAGACACGGCTGAGCAGAGATTTCTCATCCAAACTCCTTTTGGAAAGCAAAGTTGGTTTTCAGCCTTTTTTTTTTTTTTTTTTCTTTAGCCGAATGCTTTATACTCTCTAGAAAAGTTTGGTTTCAGAGATTAATTTCCATGTTTTCAAAACATGTTCACAAAATGTCAAAATACGTCACTACTAGATTTTCTACTAAAAATAGTCTTCTATTCATAGACCTTGGTAGGCTATTCTGAGTTTGGCAAACACACCTGGATGTAAGCTGCAGAAATGTTTTGATGGCATTCAGTAGTTCAGGCCCAGAATGGTCTTTGCAAATCAAACGAGTGACCATCTGCTTGAGCCAGGACTTACATGAAGAAGACCAGAAGTCTCTTTTCCATGGAGCTGGTGTATATCAGGAACAGATAAAAAGTGAAAGATGTTTTTTATTTTCTAAAAACTATTTCAATTATTTATTTTACATCTTCCTCACTCGATTTTCACTCCTCCTCTGTGATTTGCTTCTGAATGAAACCTGTGTTGATGTTCTTGAAGATGAGTCCCTCCTGCCTTCTAGGTACTTGCTTCGTTTTGGACTTAGCAGCTCTGGTTTGCAAAATAACCTGACTACAAACTGCTTCTCTGGCTGTGCTCCAGCCTGGCTCAAAAGAACATCTTCCTTGCATGAAATGAGAGGTACCTCAGCAATGTGAAACCTCCTGCTAGAACTGTGTACACATTACAAAGCATTGCACAGAAGTTGAAGCACTTGGGATGTTCTGAGGGCTTCCAGCCTGAGACCTTAATGGGAACAGGGCAGAAGTAAGCATGTTATGGGGACACTGCTTCCAGTGGGCAGGTGGGATCCTATGTCAGCAAGGAGAATACTGCCTCCAGTTTCTTCTGCTTTGGATACCTAACACGTGAGCTCTAGTCAGTGCTGAAAACTGAAGACTACCTGCAGTCTACAGAAGCCTGGAGAAGACAAAGGCTGTTTCTGATCCATGGGATTCAGGACTACTTCCCAAGCATGCACTTGGGCTGCGTGCAGCCTGGCCGTGGCACAGGTGTGTGTTGGCCTCCACGGGAAGGCACACGTGGGCCAAGTCCCTGTTGTGACAATAAAAACTGCATGGAGGGTGCCAAGGTGTACATCTGCTGCACAGTACAGATGTAACACGAGAGGGCTGTGTGCCAGCTCTGGTTTCACACTGGCATTTTACAAACTGATGTTACTGGCAACTTGACATCACTGAAATCTGCTGGGATGAAGGGAGAGGAGGTGTTCCACACGTGAGCAGCCAGAGAATGTCTCCACTGTGCAGCTTTGTGCTGGGGGAGCAGCTGATAAGAGGCCAGCATGACAACTACTGCCCCAAGTGACTGTGCCCTCAGAAAGTCAGCGAGCACCCATCGCACCACTGCCTGGTGCTACTTCTCTGGCTGGGAAAGCAAATGAGGCAGTTCTTCCTGCAGAGGAACACCTCAGTACGATATATCCTCTGCTCCATGTGAAGCTTTAGCCCAAGGACTTTTACAATTAATCCTCGTCTTCAGAGCCCATCTACCATTTCTCTCATCTTTATAATGTCTGTGTATGTCAGTCATGAAGAATTGAATTTCTTTGTGCCCATCCTCCATGGCCAGCAGCTCCACTCTTTTTTTTTGTAAAGAGCTGCTCCAGCTCTGAGAGCAACCTGCACAACTTGGTAATGATCATCCTGCTGAGCACGTGGCCGTGCCTGGAATACGATATGAGCTTCCTTCAGTAGCAATTAACATTTTGGATATTAAATACTCAAAGCTATGTGGTGCTTAGACCACTTCAGCTGGGTAGCAAGTAACAGCGTGCTTCTGCTGCTCTCAGCTCAAAATGCTGGAGAGAATAGATTTGAAAACATTTCTTAGTCCCAATAAGTTAGAGTTGACCGGGAACTATTTACAGGTAGTTTTCAGCCAACACGTTGCTGACATAAAGGATGGGTACCAAATGCTGCTGTGCTCCGGAAAGCTGGAATAACTCCTGTTGCAGCATTACTTCTCTGATCCCAGCAGCACTGGTGTTGGCAGCAATGTGTGAGTGTTGGTGCCAGCCCAGCCCACCAGCCCTGCTCGCCTCTTCTCTAGGCTGCAGTCTGTTGCTGCAGCCCGGAGCACAGAGCTGTAATTAAGCCAACCGATTATTCGGGTAACCTGTTGCTGGCTTAGGAGTATTTTGCAGAAGGCAAAATTCAGCTTAAAAACACACCTTGGTCAAATGCTGTGAGTGGTTTACGTTCCTTTCTCTCCCTGTCTCTCCAGGCCTACTGGAAAAAGATGAATCAGCTTTTGCAGACCCTGAATCAGAAGCTTGCAACCCTCAGCCACGGGCAAGAAGGGATTGTCAAGATCAGTGCTGCTGTCTCTGATAAGCTGGTTGCCTTTAAAAGTAAACCACCATCAATTCAGAGAGAGATCCTGAGCGTCTGCAGTGACCCTTACACTCTGGCTCAGCAGCTGACACATGTGGAGCTGGTACGTAGGAATGGTTTCCAACTTCTGCAGGCAGAGATATTATTTTAAGCCATCAGCTGCTAAGTATTCCAGACACAACCAAAAAATGTCCGCACTGCTGCAGCACATCCCGTGCTGTATCATCACTGCAGCAGGAGGCAGGGTTTGATAGGTTAAGAGATGCTTGGGAAGCAAGATGTATATCAGAGTGTTCCTGTGCATCTTGGGGCACGTCACTTTACCTTTTCAGCTTGCTTATTCATTAAACAAGTCTTAGTCCCAGGAAGGTCAAGAGGTTCCCCCAAAAATGCTCCCCACTTCCACACAAAGTCCTGCTGTTTCCTCCTCAGACTGCAGTTCACTCTCCAACAGACTTCTGATGGTAAATGCAACAATCGCAGCACCAAGATCTTGGCCAGAGTGCTGTGCTGCACACCTTTCTCCCAGGTTCAGGTCCTCCCTGGGTGCTCACGGAAGAACATAAAACATTATTGCTGCCCTCTGCAGATCTTCAGATGTTTTAATAATTCCCTGATTGATTTTAATGGTTTTTGAGTGTCCTAAGATTAGGTTGTATGAATTCCAAAATATCTCCACTAAAATACTTTGTGACCTGTGACCTACTGAAAATGTGTTGTTTTTTTTTTGCTTTTTTGCTGTGGCTTCTCAGTAATGAGACATGTTTATTCTCATCTTCCTCTTTCTGCTGAAATAACTCTAATTGTTCTTATGAATTTTAATGTCTTGTGCTAGTTGGCTGTCTACCAGTTCAGCAACATCATTCAAAACTTACAGATAATGGGAATGTTTTACCAAGAGAAACAGAAGACTGGGATGCTTTCTTATTTCTTCCTGTCTCTCTCATTTTCCCCTCTAATAGGAAAGGCTAAGTCACATTGGACCCGAGGAGTTTGTGCAGGCATTTGTACATAAAGACCCTCTGGATGGCACTAAGGTATGACTTGTCCACATACGAAGTATTTCCTGCAATAACTGTTTGTTCTGAGTGAACTGATGTGAGCTGAACCAATCCATAAAAGCAGGGCCTGGGACGTATATCAGCCAGGGCCAGGCCAGCTGGCAGAGCTGACTGCAAGGATGGGACCTGGTGGTAGATCTCTTGCTGGCAGGTCGTTGTCATTCCTTCCTTGTGAGAATATGTCCCAGACAGAGACTGGCCTCCTTGCTGAAATTCTGACCCCTGGCTTCTCCTCCTAACCTGCTTTGGCCAGGGCAGAGGGCCTGTAGCTGTGCAGAACGAGGGGGTGTCTGCTGCTGGTGTTAGAGGCGTAAAGACTCTGGACGTGAGGTAATGCTGCACGGCGTGTGCCCAGACACCACAGCAGTGAGTCAGTGCGTCATGAATCAACAGCCTCTGCTCTCTGCACACAATAGCTTGGAACCCAAAGCTCTGCAGGGAACGGAGCGCCTGGTCAGGGCTTCCTCCTAAGTTGTTGGAAGCCAGTCGGAGTCTTCCCGCTGATTCCAGTGGGGTTTGAAGCAGCGTTTCAGTGAGTGCCTCAACAGGGGAAGAGACTTTCTGGCTGGAGAGTGGGAGTCTGAGATTTCACGTGCTGCCAGGAAAGAAGGAGGGTGGAAAATACTTCCCCAGAACCAGACCCATGCACAGGCTCCCACTGAGGTCATACATCAGTGGCAGAATTTATCACTAGAAACAGGGAGACTGCTCTTTGTAGTGTTTCCCAAAGAGCAGCAGCATAGCTTGTACTTGTGAAGGCAGGGAGGCACGGACAGACAAAAAGTGAAGCCTTGGGCTCTGTCCTTCTCTCACTGAGGTTATGGAGATTGAGGGAAAGGAGAGAAAAATGAAAGGGATCATACGGGGGCAGCTGAATCTGAGTGAAGTTTGGAAGAATGGGAGGGAGGTGGCAGTAAATGAAGTCAAATTCTGTCAAGCCATAGAGGGGAAGGGATGCTAAGAAGAAGAAGGAAATGTTCAGCAATAAGGAGGTGTGTGCACAATGGCTGTAGCTGTATCTAGAATTTCTAATGTGGTGGCAGCACAGAGTGATACTGAGTAATAAGGAAACATCAACTAAGGTGGACAGGTAGGATTAGAATGGGAGGTGGAGAGCCTGAAAGTAGCGGTGGGATGGGAAATCCAAGCAAAACATCTCAATAGACCGTGACAAGATTTTTCTAAACAAATTTGACAGTTACGCATGTTCTTCAAATGCAAAACTGAACGCTGGGGTGCTGCCCAGTGCCAGTCCTGTGACATAGTGCACATTAAGGGAGAAAAGAAGAGCTCGAAGCAGGGATGCATCACTGCATTGCCTTCTTGTGTGAAGGCTTCAAAAGGTTTCATTTATGAATGTTTATCAAGCACGTTGAGAGCTGCAGATGGAGGATGCTAGGGAGGTGCTAAATATTGTTGCCGTTTATAAATCTTAACCTTTAAAAAGCTGTCTCCTTCAGCTTCAAATGTATGCATTTTACACAAGTTTTGTGGCATTAGCTATCGTTCTTGTGACCTGGCACGGGACAGCAGTGTTGTGATGGAAATATCACATTCAGAACAAAAACTAGGTTTTTTATACTTTTTTTTTTTCCTTGGGAGCAAGAAATACCACAGAGTGCAATAAAAGCAACTGCTGTGGATAGGCTGGAGCTGCTTTGGGTTTTCTTTTTGTTTGATATTCACGTGCTGCTTGCCAATGTTTACTGCTGAGATGCTTTTAATATGTATATATATTTTATTGTATGTATAGTCTACTCATAAAGGGGGTAGGAATTGCAGGCTTGTTAAGATTTGCCCCTAGTATAGTACTGTGATTTCTGCTTCCAAAAATGCCTGCATACAGAATTGCAGGTAAATATTGTCCTTCTTTGAATTACCTTGATTGGAAGAATCATAATGTAATGTAAATCACACTGAGGCCTATTTCTTAAGGGGTTTTAGGTGCTTGTTTAACTTACATAACGTGGGTAGTCCCACTGACGTTCGTGGAGCTGTGGTTTATGCGTTGTGACTTTTCTTCTTGGTGGCATGTATTTATGGCAGCTCTGGGAAATGATCATCTGTGGCAAACAAAAATTCAGTATTCTCTGATACCCTCTAGTGGATGCTGACGAATGTTCAGGTAAATGATGTGAACTCTAGAGAGCAGTGTGTCCTCGATGGACAGTCTCAGAATTTAGGGCTGGGAAAAGGAGTTCTTAAAATTCTTACAACCCCAAGCAGCATCTTCAGGCTGGGTGAGCTACCCTGACACTCTGCTGAAGTCAAATTATCTGCTGATATCAAAGTAGCTGCAGGAGTTCAGTCAAGTATCTGCTCCCACAGCCCCTTATTAGCTGCGGGAATTTATATAAAACTTCCTAAAAGTGCTTCTTGTCATGGCTCTTATTGAAGAAGTGTGTCTTGCATGTACGTGACCTGTTCCAGAGCAGCCAGCAAGACAGAGCTGGGGCACTGCACAGCCTATTACCCTGAATACTCGAGAGAATAAGAGAAATATTTTTCCCATAAAGAAGTAACTAGCGGTGTTTTTTCTTTTGCTCACTGCTTGTTCACTTCCCTGAATTACGGGGAACTTTAAAAAAGAGCCGTGGGTGATGGTGTTCACTGAAGCGAGGGAAGTGCTGGAATCAAAGGCACAAACCGGGTGGCTGTGGAAAATGGTGCTCGTTTTACCTTCTCTGCGTGGTGTTGTTGCTGCCTGCTGGCTGGTAATAGCAAGCAAGGGTCAGCGCAGGCTGCGTTGGTGAGCAGGCAGATCGGGGATGTTTTCCAGGCACTGCTCTGAACTGCGTGGAGTGACACAGGGGGCTGGACCCCGTGCTTCCACACAGCACCCACCCACCCGCTGCCTTTCTCCAAGGAGCCCTTAACGCTGTCTTCTCGGTGCCTGAGTGATCAGGTCGAGTGATTGCTTTGTGTAGGATGTAGCTTGGCAGTCGGGCAGGTATCTGAAATGCAATTACAAGTCTTCCTGTGCTTTTTGCTCCCCAGCCTTGTTTCAGTGAGCAGAAGAAGACCAGTAACCTTGAGGCCTACGTGAAATGGTTCAACAGACTCTGCTATCTTGTGGCAACGGAAATCTGCATGGTAAGTGGAACAGATGTGGCGTGCTTTACTGCTGCTCGAGGTACCGCTTTAAGGTGGCACATTAATAAGGAAACCTGGGGATTTATTTCTTATGACCTAGCTAAGCGTCTGACAGTAAGTTTTAGCAGTGCTGCATTCACAGAAACAACCTGATAAATGACAAGCATATTGCAAAACAGAGCTGGCAGCACACTGGGGATACGCTTTCTATTGATGTAGTAGGAGCACAGTGTGGAATAATGAACCCTGCAGGGAAAAAGAAAGGAAAAAATGCCTTGAATTATCCTCTGAGATTTCTGCTGGAAAAGATTCTAGCGGAGCAGTATTTGTTAGCTGTCATCCTGAAGCTCTGTTGTGCATGTGAATTCCCATCGCGTGGTGCTTTGTCCTGCTGCCCATTGCTGTAGCTGTGACTGCTGTGGTTTTTTTTTTTCACTTGGTAGTGGTTTTAGTTTGTTTAGATTGACCCCATCAAAATGAAATTAATGTTTTCCCCTTTGAAGGGGGGAATAGTAACAGGATAAACAGCCTCCATAGCTTGTGATTTGACAGCGTTGTCGTCTTAAGATCTTCTTTGAAAGGTGGGGTGATTCCAGCCCAGTTGCAATGTGGATTAAGATGCAAGGTTCCATTAGGCCTGCCCGTCTTGCTGAAAGGCCCAGGACAGGGGAAAGAGATTAATGCAGGGAAACAAAGCCTTTCTGGGAGAAAGGTGCTGTGTCAGATGGGTGTGAAATCCTGCCGTAGGAAAGTCAACAGTGATGTGCCCACTGACTTCAGGGAGGCCAGCAGGGAGCACTGCTTCTGGGCTGTTTGGGATGCCTGCTCCATCACTAAGACACTGAGGCAAGCCTGGGTGCTGCCATGAAGTCCTTCTGGGTCATCGCAATGAAAACTTTGATTTTTGGACACTGCCAGTCACTGGCATCCACTGGGTTGCTGGAATAGAATTGGGGCCAGTGGCTGATAGCAGCAGGTAGTTTAAGTAGCATGGACCCTGCTATGTGTGGGATGATTACCTGAGATGCCCTCCAATTCTGCATGTGCTTATTATAAATCTTTATTTTAATTTGCAGCCTGCAAAAAAGAAACAGCGAGCACAAGTCATTGAATTCTTCATTGATGTTGCCCGAGAGTGCTTTAACATAGGGAATTTTAATTCACTGATGGCAATCATTTGTAAGTACAGCTCCTAACCAGATGTCACCACGGGCTGTAACAAATAAAGGCGAAGCCTGACTCTCATCCATGGCTTTTCTTTTACGCTTTCTCCCTCACAGCTGGAATGAACATGAGCCCAGTTTCCAGGTTAAAGAAGACTTGGTCAAAAGTGAAAACAGCCAAATTCTTCATTCTTGAGGTAAATGAATAAATAAAGGCATGCTGCTTGAATTGTGTTTCGGATTCTTTGTTTTTGTGAATTTTCCCATTCCAATAAACAGTAGTTAGAGTCTTTACTGTTTTTTAGGAGTTAGGCTTCCAATAAACAGTAATTAGAGGGCATGTTTTTTAACCACCTATTCAAACAGTTTATGCAGGGTGGTTGGCTTTTGTATGGAGAATACTAGGATTTGGCATATATAAAATTTGCAGTCCTTAGTCTTCAAATAAAAGCTCAGAAAGTTATTAATAGAAAAAAATGTTAGTTACAGTCATGATCTGTACCTGCAGAGCTCTCATTGTATCTGTGGTTCACGGGTTTTGTGTGCATGTGGATTTTTGAAGATGTAGGCTAGACTCTGTTTACGATTTGGTACAACTAAAGGCAAAGCTGCCTTCAGAGGATGCAGGTTGTGTTCTAACCAATGTGTTGTCTTTTGTGTATCTAGCACCAGATGGACCCTACTGGTAACTTCTATAACTACAGAACTGCACTGCGGGGGGCTGCTCACAGATCCCTCACTGCACACAGCAACAGGGAAAAGGTAGGTGTGACCACATCCCATTCACCTCCAAATGGTTGGTGTGCATTGCTGCTGAGAGCGTGACTGAGACACTTGACTGCAAGTGCTCTCCTCTCTTCCATGGGGCACCAGTGCAAAGCTTGCACACTGCTAAGCTCAACCAAAAATGTAAGTCAGCAGCTGAAAGGAGTCTGCAATGGATCGTGGGGCTTTTGTGGACTTGCTCTCAGGGAGCTGGGAAGGGCAGGACATGCAGTAGGGAGGACTTCATTGCGAGCATCTCTGTATCTCTTAAAAATTCATATTGTGTAGAATGATAAACCGGGTGGAATGGGTATTCCAGATTAAAATGACTTCTGTTTTGGTATGGAGCATGAGCTTGGCAGGCCCAGGTGGAGCTGCACTTTGTTGCAACTGTGCCAGCCAGCTTCTCTGTGCAGACAAGCCCTTACTGTAAGTGTATGATTAGAGAACAAAGCACAGCACTCAGAGATGATAAGCTAGTTCTCCATTTATATTACAGAAAGATGACCTACTGCAAGTCATGCAAAAAAAAAAGTCTGGTCTGAAGCCATTGTAGGAAATTTGGGGTGAAATTCTCTATTTGTGAGTTTTCATTTCATTTGGTTGTTGATGCCATCTTGCTGAGCAAGATTTGAGCCATCAGTGTTAGTGGCAGATATATAGCTTTCTGAGACATCACTGATACTGCAAAAGATCAGATCGATGAGATGTTAGTGCATAATCCTGCTGGTTTGGGCCTCAGTGTGCATCTTGTTCATTTTCTTCTTTCTCCATTCAGCTTCTCTTATTTATTTTTATGAAGGAGTGTTTGTGTTTAACATTGCAATTGCACATAGTAATAAATGGGTAATCTCTGCACAAAGCGTGGCTAAGGTGGATACTGCATGAACAAGCATAAGGCAGAATTGAATATTCTTTCACTAGAGGAGCCAGGCTAGATGCTGATCTCACGTCCCTGCAAATTTGATGTAAATCTGCTGAAGCTAATGGAATCTTGCAGCATTTATGGTGAAATGAGATCAGCAGCTGGTCGCAGGCTGACTCAGCTGCAAAGGGAGTATGCTGAGTTGTTCTGAAAAGCACTTCTGTATGCAAGGAGGAGACAATGGCTGTGGATATTTGTGAGCAGCAGAAAATTCTTTTAACTCTCCCAGAACACAGCAAGGACCCATCAGTCAGATCTCTTTGGAGTTTCGTTCTACTGCAACCATGATATATATTCAAGCCAGCTGCTTTATTGTTTGATTTAATTTCCTGTGGAAGTTCGCAGTCTCTGCCATATCTCTCCCCCTAGGAAGTTAGGATGGAGGACAGAGAGATTATTAAATTAGAAAGGAAGCTATTTTACATAAGAAGAAGCCTATATTCTAGTTCTCTTGTGTACATAACATTAGTTCAAATGATCAAGCACATGACTTGGTAGTTGCTCATGCTGGGTATTTTACAGTGCCAGACAGAGAAGGTCGTGTCATTCATGCTGTAGGAATTAAGGAATTGTGTTGCCTATTGTAAACCAGATTATTAGTTACTCCTTTTAATGACTTTGAGTAAAATTGAAAGAACACAATCCCTTTTCGATCAAAGATGTTACCTTCTTTTGTAGTAAGCTTGTAGCAAAGTGCTCTCATTGAAGAAAATATTTTTCCTCTAATTGAGCTGTGCTTATAACAGTTTGAGGTCGCAGTCCCCTCTGCCCCTCTCCTCAGCAGTTGGGCACCACAGAAACACACATGGAGACTTCGGGCCTCAGTCCACCTGCTTGAGAAATACATCATCCACTCCATCGTGATCCTTAGGGTGCTGGCGTGAGCCTGCAGCACAGGCTGTAGGAGAAGATCTCAGGATACCCATGGAGGATCCCCTGAGCTCAGTCCGGACTGTTTTAATCCAGCCCTTTCCTTAGGGTGTAAATGGTGTAGTTACAACTCCCTGTACTTGTTCAGAAGCAGGCTTGTAAAAAGACACGGGAAGGCAGCTCTCAAAACCAGGAGATGTGATACAGAGGCAGAAGGAAACCTGCCAGAGTGCAGGGTGAGAAGAGCACCGCTAACGAAGGAGGGCTGGTGCCTCGTGCAGCATTCAGAGCACTGTGCTCGTCAGGAACTAAGTCTGGTTTTAGCTGACCTGTTCCATCTCCAAAATAAGGCAGTCCACTGGGAAACCCAGTGCTCAGTGCTAATGCTGGGTCTCTGATCGCCTTTGAAATGCTGGGAGCGTGTACAGCGCCGTGCCGTGCGTCGCTGCCATGCGATGCTGCGGAGCAAGAACACGTCTGATCTCATCAGCTTGCTTCTTCCTGCAGGAGGCAACTGCCCTTCGGCGTGTGGGTGGGTTTGATGCGCTGGGGGGAATCAAAAGGGAGTGAAATCAGAGTTTCTGGCACTAACCCAGATTTTATGCTAGCAAAGTGCCTGGATTGAAGCCAACGTTAAAGTGTAACTCTATCCACTTCTGTTGTTTTTACTACAGAAACTCGGAAGGCAAAACATGCAGGGTGGCATATTTTTATTGGGGAAATAAATGGTGACCAAAAGATACAAATCCTCTGGAGATGAGTGGAGAACTGGTATCCCAGGGAATGTCTTTGCTGCGTTTTGGATGCAGATGAGAACAAACTGCCCACGCTCTGAGCTGGCTGGTGGCTCTGTAACTGTATTAGCATGGCACTGAGCCCACGTTAATATACCTTCCTTCTCAGCAAGGCTTTTAGTTTATGTTCAGTACCATTAATGATGGTGACCTAGCTCCCAGGCAGTGTGGAGCAGGCAGAACAAGCTTGTATCTGTCTGAAAACAAGTATGTAGGCAGAGGCTGGCAGTAATTCCTAGCCGGAGATCAGTGCCTGGCTCCAGCTCTCTGTGTCTCTTTTGACTTTATACGACCACTGCCATCCTGCACAGTGAGTATCATAGTTTTTGGTAGAAAACAAACCATAGGCTGAATTGCGTTCCTTACCTTAGGCTGGTTCAGACAATGATGCTGTGATGTACCAAGAGATAATAAACTGGGTTATTAGTATTTTCTTAGTCATGGTATTGTGCTCGGTGCACTTTGTTTTCAGTTCACACTCACTTCAGCGTTCTTTCTCCTGATGACTGAAGGTGTCTCTATACCATCCTGCCCTTTTGCTTGCCTGTCACTCTGCTGCTTTATAGGTGCACAAAACACTGAAAAGTTAATACTTTTTTTCTCCTCTCTCCTGGCTGAGTTCTCATTTCATGCAGAGAAAATACTGAAGTGGAAAGATAATAGTTATGCCATTTCTTTTCACAGATTGTGATCCCCTTCTTCAGCCTATTGATCAAAGACATTTATTTTTTGAATGAAGGATGTGCTAATCGCCTTCCAAATGGACACGTCAACTTTGAAGTAAGATCTGAAAACTGTTTTTATCTTTCCCATTCTGACAGCACTATGTAAGACTGCTCGCCTGCAATTTCAGTGCAGATCAACAAAGACTGAGTGTGCCAAAAGGGACAATCTCAAATGACTGCTTGAAGGTTAAACCAAGCTCAGAATGTTTTCTAAAAGCAATAATGTATATATTTTATACAAACATGACAAACAGATTATTCTGACTTGCTTCATGTGGGTTGGCTGCTAGAAATGCCGTGTCAGCAGCGTACATGATTATACACATGACTTGGAGGGGAAGAGGACTTTTTCAGCAAACAAGGAAAGCTGTATTTGCCTTACACGCATGCTTTGACAAATCAGTATAAAACACTTTTTACTAAATTGTATCTGCCTTCTTAGCCCTGTCTCACTTCGATAAAGAGACTTGGCAGAGTAAGACAAACTAACTGTGGTCATTACGGAAAGATTAGAATACAGGCAGAATTACATATAGAGTACAGGAGTCACTGTGTTCATGAGTTAAATATCGTGCTATTGATGTAAGGATTAGAACGTGTTATCTCCTGCCTGTAAGTCTTACCCTGAAGAATTTCTATCAACAGAAGTAGGATATTCCCCCGCAGCCCCAGCACTAGGTACTAATATATCCTATGCCAGAGAGGGTGGTTTTATGGTGGTGCAACGTGTTGCTAGTGGCTGTGTGCAGGCACTCGGGTGTTTACGTTGTGCTGTGCCTTGCAATTGCTGTGATCATGTAATCTGGTGGGGGGGCGGAACAGATGAAATGCTTTTGAAAGAACTGACCCATGTCAATGAGAAAATGGTTCTCCAGCCCTCAGATTCTTTGTAAATCATTTCTTCGGCACCTCTTTGATCAGTTGCATTAAATTTCTCTTTCAGCCATTCCCATTGTGAGATAGTGAGTAATGCATAAGATAAAGCCTGGCATCCCCTTAAATTATATCAGAATATTTTTGCCATGTACATTTACTGTTGGAAGGCCTAAAGAGTTGTGAGGGATTGGAGTCATTCCACTTCATGTGATGTGTATAATTCTGTTCCCTCCCATTTCATCAAAGTTTATGCCCTCTGTTCTTAAGTATGTATAACCCCAGCTTTGTTCCTGGATACATTTTCACTTATGTAAGAAGAAATGCAGCACACCCTTTCCTCCCTCTTTCCCCTGTAAACAAATGGTGAAAATGCACCCATCTAAAAGACACAAGGCTCCTTTCTCCTCATGTCATAGAATCATAGAATCATAGAATATCCTGAGTTGGAAGGGACCCTTAAGGATCATCAAGTCCAACTCTTGACACCGCACAGGTCTACCCAAAGTCCTTGTGGTTGGCACGAGGGATCCTGGATCCTGGTCTTCTGCTTGGATGTGGTTACTTAGTGGGATAATGGTACTGTACCTGAATGGAATGGTTTTATCTTCACAGAAATTTCTGGAACTGGCTAAGCAAGTAGGAGAATTTATAACATGGAAACAAGTGGAATGTCCCTTTGAACAAGACGCTAACATAATCCACTACCTGCATACTGCTCCCATTTTTACTGAAGATGGTAAGACAGTACAATCTCTAATCACTGAAAATACGTCTCTTCATCACTACTAATTAACAACCTGATTCGTGCTCTGGAGATCTCTCTTACTGACCGGTTCTTTCCTAGCTTTTCTGTCACACAGCTTGTGTATTATCCCCAAAATATCAACATGCTTTTGCATGATAAACCATCTACCCTGTAAAGCTGCTGCCTGATTGCTTTTCTCTAGTCCATAGCTTCTCTATGAGGCGCTGTCTAGGAAGTTGCCATGCTGGCCCTATTTTTGTAATCAAGAAAATGGCCACAAACCCATGTCATGGACTGCTGTGAATGTCAGCTGTCCCTTAGCCAAACTCATTCTGTGATTGATGGAGCCAGGACTAATCTCTTCTGCAAACCAACGCTGTCATTTCTTTAGCGAGCACAGCTTGGGGCTGTGGTAGTCCCACTGACCTCCTTCACTACAGCAAAGAAATATATTATCTACAAAAAAGAATTTTTAAGAAAAATCCTTTCTAGTAATTAATTTAAGCTGTAGCTATGAAAAGGCTGGTCTGAAATTATGTCTTTGGTTGTCTTTTTAGTCCTATCTGTCTTTTCTTTGCTTCTTTCAATTTGGTGTCCAGCACAATGGGCTGTGCCATTTCATATTGGGTCATGTCAGTTGCTTCTTGTACATTGTCACGCACAGAAGTCATCTATAGCTATGTTTCCATAAGCCATACTGGCACTGGGTTTATTTTTTCTCGATTCTGTAGGCAGTTTTCTGTACTGATCCAGGTTAATCAGACCAGGACAGCTTTTATTTCATAGTTAAAAATGTCAAAATAGTCCCTCAAAAATCCTGCCTAAATGCTAAGAAAAATGACTACCAAAATTGAATAATCAATGCAGTAAAAGGAGGCATTTGTTCCGTATTTGGGCTCTGAAGGGACACAAAGTGAAAGTCAAGGGTATCTCAGAAGTGGTGTTTAAAAGTACAGTTTTGGGGCTGGTAGGCTGAAAAAGAGTGACCTCAAGCCACTAATTGCTTGCAGATTTTCTCTCCCACATCCTCTGCCATGTTCCTACACTTCAGGAGATGCCCTTTGCAGAAGCCACAGCAGGCCTCCCCTGTTAGCCAGGAGAAGTGCTGGGTGGAAAGATTCACCCTGAGTAAAAAATGGGAGAATGTATCAGATAGATGCAACCCTGGCATGTGAGGTACAGCTGGACTGTGCTTGTCACGGTGTGGAGGAATAGCGGGCCAACCCTTGAGTATTAAAATGTGCTTGAATTGTAACACAAGTCTGAATACTGAGGTGGTTCCTGCATTAAAGAGTAAAGCATCGCTAAAGAGTGAAATGAGGACATGCATGTGAACACACATCATAGCCTACTTTAAAAAAAAAAAGTGTGAAGACAGTGAGACATCAATGCACCACCAAAAAAAAAAAAAAAAAGACCTGTTTATTTTCTTCTACTGTGCTGCTTCTCTGGTTTCTGTAACTCATTCTTATCTTGGGGCTGTTTTGTATCCAGTTAAGATATCATGTTCTCTTAAGCTTTAAAAAGATCGAGGAAGATTAAGTTGTGTTAAGTAATGGGAAAAGCCTTAATTTTAAAAGTGTGCTTGCTTCACTCTCAATTCTTTTTAAATGTTTATATAACACTTTGGTAGCAGCACTGTGATGAATAGGCCCAGATCTCTTTATTCAAAACTGGAGACCATTTAACTATTTAGTGTTGTTATAAGAATGTCATGCTAACATATTTTAACTCTGGGCTCCTTTATGGTTCCATCAAAATTAACAGATTTCCAAAGGTAAAAATGTGAGCTAAACTCCAGTGTCATACTGATTTCCAGATACATGATAGACCATGAAGAGCGGGAGTTCCTGTTGCAGTTGAAATACCGTTTTTTACCTTTTACAGGTTTGTATCTGGCTTCCTATGAAAGTGAAAGTCCAGAAAACCAGACTGAAAAAGACAGATGGAAATCCTTAAGGTAACCACTCACTGTATCAGCTCAATTCTGAAGTACCTCCAAAATGCTGCACTGATAGTCAAAGCCTGTAAAGTGCTGGCATTTAAAGCGTGACCTCTGTTGGAGGTCTTTTCCATTTATGACTAATTTACAGAGCTGGGTCTGTGCTGATAAAAACTAAACTTAATCTCATATTATCCCCCGTTTAAAGGGTATCTTCCACTTGTGTGTTTATACAGTGCTGTACCTGTAATCTTCCTAGAGTTTACATCTCTTATTTGTAAGAGATTTATAAGTGATGGTAAATGGTTTGATGTAAATGAGAATCTGAAGAGAGTGATGTAAAACAATCAAAAAAACCACCACATTTATATTTACTATTTTTTCATTGTTCTTATGTTTTAAATTTGCAGATCCACTATTTTAGGAAAGACTTGAAGATTAAGAGATTATTGCAGTAGGTCAAAGAAAAGAAATCCGCAAACATTTTGCACTACTGATTCCAAAGATGCCTGTTTGGGATGTAGACAATTTACTTTGTTTGAGTTTTTTTGTTGTTGTTTTGTTTTTGGTTTTGTTTTTTTTTTTGACTGCCTAACATGCTGGATGAACTGGATTCATCCACTGAAATCAACAGAACTGTGCACATGGACGCTTTTCTAACTATGAGAGAGATAAAGGAAGGACAGACCATTTGTGGCTGTGCCCAAACTGCGTCAGGATCACTGTAACCTTTGCCTCTGAAGGAAAACAGAAGAAAATCAGGAGCATGGAGAACCATGGTACTGCAAAAGAGAATGGAAATGTAAAAATAAAAATAGACACGCCTATTTCAGAAGCAGGTGCTTCAGATAGCAGCTCTTTAAACCCTCTGAGGATTATAAAATTAAACTGACACAGCAGCAATCTGGTTCATTGCTGAATGAAGAAAGAAGAACTTAATCTTACATTAGCAGTCCCCCAGCCTTGTTGAACAAAGCACTGACTGCAACAGGTATAAGCTTCCAGTGGATGAAAATGCCATCACTCGCTCATACGTACACATGTATGTCACATACAGATCAATCACATCGGCATGGGAGAGTTGGACACATCCTATGAATTTTTACAGAGAATGATCTGAAGTATGGCTATTGCTTAGTTACTCTTCCCACCACTGTTGTTTTTCTTACTGTGAATCTCGGCAGATCTGCGGAGGGCATACAGTGTAGACGGTGTTCCTTAAATACCACCTCTTCCCCAAGCTGAACTGAAGAAGCAAATTACTCTGGGCTCAACTTACCTCTATTTAATGTATGTAGTGTTCTCCCTAATTTTGTTCATGGTGAGATGCATCCGTTAGAGGGCTTTATCACACTTACAAGAAAAGATACGACATTAGCATTTGAAAAAAATCTATCAGGTTCCAATTAATACAGTACTGTTTGTTTTGCAACATGATGCTAAGAGGATGGGAAGGGGGAAGTAATTGCTCAGAAGTGGGAACTATATGGTATGCTTTAAAAAGACAAAGGTTTTCAGACTGGAATGAATGAACTAAAGTACAAAATTTGTCATTCATTAACAGATAACCATTTTTATCTTACTTGGTTTTTAGGGTCTAAACCATATCCACCACATCCTTACAGATAATACAGAGACTGTGGCTTCTCTTCTAACTGGTACAATGATCATGGTGCTCATATATTATCAATAAACGATAATGAACTGTATGGATATTAGATTCAAAACTAAGCCCTAACAGTAGACTACTTGTTTGTATGTGAAGGGACTGTTCCACCTGCCCCAAAACAGACCTCAAAAAGCTTTGATGAAACCTAAATGCCATGTGATATTGAACTTTGTTTTATTACTGATTTGATGCTGGCCTTTCAGATTTTCCAGTCTTTCTCCATCTACAATGGCAGAACATATCATTTGCTTTGAAATCATTAACTGCTTTATTTCAATTTAGAGTGATTCCAAAATGACTGTAGGGTTTGGAAAAATGAGGCTAATCGTAAAACCTGGCTCTGCATTTAGCCAGAAAGGTGGAACTGTTCCTGCTCACTGCCAAGCCTCACAAAAGTTACCCATGCATGAGTGAATTGTTGAAATGTGAGGGGTATTGGTGAGCTATTGTTTGAGGGCAACCCAGAAAATTAAGCTGATCTGGGGTACGGTGGCCTGAGACATGTTCTACGTGACATACTAAAGCTTGGTAGTGTTTACAGTGCTGTTCTTGTGTTGGGTTTTGATCTGTGAAAACCTGTGCAGTCTGGACCGTGGCAACCTGGAATCCACTCTTGCAGTTTTGTGAGATGAGCAGTCAAAGTGAGCAGGACAGTTTCATCCAGATTTGTGCACGGAGGGGCTCGAGGCAGAAATCCAATTCTCCTTTTCGTTTATCTATCAGCACATGAGTTCATGTAGGGGCAACGTATCAGGGGAAAATGTCATGTCAATACTCAAGCTGTGTATGGAAGAACTAAGCGTAAGATTAGTACAGCATCATTCCAGCCAGGGAGCAATGCTTCTGGTGACACTGTTGATAAGCTGTTTGTTAATTTTTGTACATGAGCTGAGAGCTATACAGAGAAATGTACGCACACAGCCATTCCTTCAAGCAGAACCATTTCCAGAGTGATGCCACTAAAATCCTGTTTAATTCCAAACAAATCCAGAGCAATAACCACAAATGTACCTGCAACAATGCTAATGCTCATAAGTGTTTGCTAAATGGGCTTTTTTTTTTTTTTGTGATGTCTGAATCTTTTTAGTAGGCACAGTGTGACTTCATGATGGAATGGGTTTTTTCAGTCATCTGAAACCCCCCATAGGTGGATTGGCCCTTCCTTAAGAATTGTTTCTTAAAGTGCAAATGCTCACTCCTTTTCTAATGATCCCATTGAGGCTGGTACAGCTGAGGTATTAACACCCAGGAGATTAATCAAAATGTGATTGTTCTTGATAATATTTTACATTTTGGGGTACCTTCCTGCAATCAGGCAATTTTATAAGAATGAGTTAAAATTTGGTCTCATAAAGTTTATCGATGTTGCAAGCTAAACAAATTCATAGTCCAAAACTTTCAAACCTCAGTGCTTAAAATGGAAGCACAGAAGTCAGATTTAGGGAGGTATTAAGGGCTTAGTGGGGCTTTCAGAAGCACCAGATCATCTTTAAATCTTTATGTAGTCACACACTTTTTTTCTTAGAGGTGCTAAACATCCTCATCTCTTGGTGAATACTGAAGCAATTACTGCTTGATAGAGGTGCATGGTACATTGATCCATAGCATGTGATCTCCAGAAATGCTGACTGCACCTTGCAGATAACTTGGAGGTGAGAGTACACAACAACTTAAAATGAGACGGCAATACTTTCAAAATAGACTTGAGGAATCGTGGCTTGCCTTCACATAGCTCTGTGGCCAAAATCCTATTGATTTAAATTGATTTTCAAGAGTTAAGTTACAGCTTCGGTTGCATTCGTGCCTTATACTTGGCCTGACTCGGGAGTACAGCTCCAGACAGCAGGGTGGTGTGGTCAGAGCTCTGCTTCACCAACAGGCATTACAAAGCCTGAATACAACTGGAAAAAAAAAAGGATGACAATTTGGGGAATGGATTTATTTCAGAAAAAAATATTAGCATTATGTGAAATACAAAATGAGAAAAAACAGATCTCATACTTATGTATCCTTGCTAGAAACATGTGGAGAGCTCTTACCATGATTTAAAAAAAGAGTGGTGTCACTTAATGCCAAACACTAGGCCACCGTAAGGCATGTAGTCATTAGACTAACATCAAGACAAGTTACTGTGGCATTTCAAATAAAAAGCAGTTCAAGTGTAGAGAGACTTTTCTCAGCTTGAAGGTTTTTTATGATGTGGTCAGTAGCGATAAGATAATCACCCCCTTAAAATCAAGCCAGTCCCTTACTGATACCCTCGTTACTTTATCATGCTGTGTTGCAATAGTTTATGCACCTTTTTTTAAAGCACATGAGCACTGCAAATCCAGTTCAGAATGGAGTTCAGGTTAATGAAGCTGTAGTTGGAGTTATCAAAAAGAAAATGTTTTAGTAGAAAAGATAGTTATGCATATCAGTCTAAAAATGTTATGCAGTTAATGGTATCTGGCCTAACAGTGACTGCTTCAGAGAGGGAGACCAAACCCAGCACGGGGATGTGTCAGAGGAAAAATTCCCATTGATTTTGGTGGGTTTTGGAGCAGTCCTGCAAGTACACTGTTTAAAGTTATGTATAGGGATCAAATTGCATTGGCAACTGGTGTAGTGCTCGGCCTTTCATTTGAGCCAACTGCAAATCTCAGATGGGCAGGTGCACTTAACAGGGTGAAAATCCAGCCTTGGCAAAAGTTTGCTTTGACATTGTTGTAGTTTCAACAGCAAATTCAAGGACTGAATTTGATCCAGTGAATTATCTCATCAGAGAGCAAAATTTGGCCTTCTGGCTTTTAAGAAATCTTTTTTTTTTTTCTTTTAAAGTGGTAGAAATCAGCACTACTGTCTCAGGAGTGTCTTTGGAAATTAAAACCCCTTTGATTGTAAACATTATTTCTATTGTTGTAACTGCAGAATAGGATTAGGAAGTGACAAGGAAACATGGAAAAGCTCCTTTGGCACTACTCAGAGGCTCAACTGTGGGCCAAAGGCTTTTTTTGTTTTGTTTTGTTTTGTTTTTTTTTTAAAAAAAACATTGTTAAGTGAAATTACCTCGGTAGTTGGTGCAGGGCATTACTGAATTGTGGCAAGGGAGCAGTGCAGATCCAGCTGGCGTCTGTCTGGCAGCACATACGGTAACCGGTGGATGCAGCAGTGATCAGATGTTCCTGTACAAAGCTGTCGTGCACATCCATATCTGAGCATGCACCCTTAGGTTTCTGATGCTTTTGAAAGGTAAGAAATTCTTGGAAGTTCACCTGAGGCAAAACATACTTCCTTCTCCTGTCCAACAGAATAATTACAAGAAAATTCTTTAAACTAAAAGAGGTTCCTCTGGAGGACTTGAAACAATGGAGAATCTGTTATTTAGTTGACAGAATTTTTAAGATCTAAGCAGCATGGTAAAATAAGTACGTAAGAATTATGAGCAATACCTTGATGGTTGTTAACTTTTATATTTCACAGCATGGCAGCAGAGTGGAAAATGACACCTGTGCATGTGCTATTCCTCTTAATATCAATGGCAGCTGGGCAGTCCAAAGCAGGAGAGAATCCAGTGAAAAAATGATACACACAGCAAGCTGCTCCCATATTTGCGTTTTCACATTGGGTATGTTGGAAAGAAAGCACGCTGCCTTGCAGTGGGTCCCTTTCCCTGCAGCCAGTGTTAGCTGCTCTGTAGAGATCCAGTCACTGAGCTGATCAGGGAGGCAGCAAGCAAGTCACCCTTTTTAATGAAACAGATCTGGAAGCTAATCTGTTTTGTACTTATTTATTTTACAATTCTTTTTGCATATTTTCAGATATGCAGAAATTATCAAATACATTAAGTTAATGCACATAGAAGGCATCACATTCTGCATTTTTATACTATGCAAGATGTGTGTTAGAAGTTAATAGCTTGTAGGGGTGGCATTTCCTACATTCTGCACAGGTGCAAGACACTGAAACTCTGGCGATAACCTGAGTTAGAGAAAAAAGTACGAGTTACTCTTGGCTAGATCCCCTGCCTTGCACTGTGGCCAGCCTCAGACTGTAACGCTGTAAATTCAGGGTGGCTTAGAATGCCACCTCTCCCTCTGATACCTTTCCTTCCACAGAAGTGGTATTTTGCTCTATCAACAGCTTCTGCAAAATGCCGTACCAATATTTTTCTAGTTCTCTGCCATACAGGGGCTCTGCAGTCATACGCCAGAGCTGTCACGTTGGGAGTCCTTCTCCCTTCTTCCCTGGCACTAAAAGTGCTAGCCCAGACAAATACTGCAGTGCAGCAACATTCCCAGCCCTTCGTGAATCCAGAAGACTTAGAGTTCAGAGCTCACAAGTCCTGTAAGTTAAATATCTGTACAGTAAATTTCCTTCTAATATGTGCACAACCTATTTAATGGACTTCTGACCAGTAACTTCCAGCTACCTTTCAGAGAAAATGCAACTTCCTCAGTGAACTGTAACTGGTCAGTACTCTGTCACTGCTTTCATCGTTTAATTGTGCTTCTAGAATTCCAGGCTTTTGGGGATAACTGAGCATATGACGCTTTCCTGGTGTTTGGCCCATGAGTCAAAAAGGGAGTTTGAAGAGTTGAGAAAACAGAGACTAGAGTCTAGACACTTGACATGATCTGTACTTCCAAAACAGCCCGGGCTGGGTTATCACTTACAGTATGTCCTCACCTTGAACTGGAAGGAATAGTTCCAGCAGAATCCTCCTAACTCTTCCTGAGCGATACAAGCACACAGCTATTAAATTTTAAGTGTTTCAAGATACGAGTCTTACAAACGTGTAAGTACTTCCCTTAGGAGTCAGTCTGTAAAAAGAAATAAAACTGCTAGTATGCCATGCAGGTGGGAAATAAATTAGCTGCTGGGTTCCCGAACTGGTGACTCTAAGCAAGTATTCATTGGTATAGAAAGGTGAGAAATCAGATTTTAGTATTTTTTTTCGCTTTTACCAAGTTCTGTGAAATGTGACAGTACCAGTTATCTTAAACCTATAACCCAGGAACACGCTATTCCAAAACATTTATTCACAGACCTAAACACACAGGGTAAAAATGAGTAAGCAGAATTGTCCTGATATTCAGAATGAGGAATTCAAAGATGGAGCGATGTGTCCGCAGTCACCTGGGAAGCGTGTGCATTCCAAAATTACCCCATATTGACACCCAAATTCTAGTCTTACATTTCATCTGTTATAACTCCGTTTTACAATTGTGCTTAGAAAAATGGACAATAAATTATTTTATTTTTAATTGAGAATAAGCTAGGAAATAAAAGAAATATGGATTAAAAGACTGGTAGATAATGATTGTGGGAGCAATAGTAGTGAGGGGCTCCGCTTTTCCTGTACCTTTTCCTTTAAATTAAGCTATTTCATGTTATGATCAGCATTTTTGGGTCAAATCGAAATCCCCCTACCCTCCATAATACTAAACCCATGTAGATTTGTTAGAAGTCCTCAAAACAAATATCACCACTTTATTAATTGCGCAGGCAGAAAACAGTAAAAGTTACTGGAAAGTGGCTGTTATAATTTCGTGACTGTACATAGATCTTGCAAAATGTTAATGGTAATATGCATACTGTACCCCACATGAACACCGCCAGGATAGCATGGTCATTGTTACGCTTTATAGCTGTTGTGGAAAATGTCTTAACCCGCGTTCATGATTATAGTGCCCATCCTACTTCCATGCCTTTTTATACAGTTGTGGTAAGATTGTTCTGAAATCCTTTTGTCAGTCATGTTCAAGCTAACTTACCTATGTATAGAATTTATATATTAAACCCCCCTAATTTATACTGTGTTTTAACAGTTTGCCTGAACTGTCTATGGTTTCTAAATTTTGTAATGTGAGTGTCAAATTAGAATAATAAAAAAGAAAAATTGGCTCAGCTGTGTGTATTTTGTTTTTCAGCTTTATTTCTCGTAGAGATTTCAACAGCTCTAAATTACAGTATAGGCTGGAAAGAAACTCTGGTTGCTTTGAAAAACCAAAAATACAAAGATACCCCTGACTCAACTCAGCAGTTCATGAATATGCATGTGGAAATAAAAGTACCTGTAGTTTCTGCTTTTCCTCATTTCTACTCTATTGCTTCCCTCTCCATCCTCTTACATTCAGAAGATTGCACTGCACTGTACACTACAAGGAAAAGAGACAATTGCTCTTATTTCTCATTATAAAGTATTTTCCCAAATAGTTACAGGCTCAAAGTATCGTAATGAGAGGCAAAAAGCTGAGCCTCAGCCTGAGTATTTTTAGTCTGTTCCTATAAAGTTCTGTGGTACAGCTGATGTTTAAACATGCTCTATTATTTATTAGTATTGCAGTAATTTGAGAGCTTTTAATGGGGTGAAGGACCCATTTCAGTAAGCATGTGCAGTAGGACACATCCATGCATCAAGTAGCTAAAAATTCTTTATATAAAGAGGCTCAGAGGTGAAACTCTTGCGTAGGTATAAGTGGTGGAGTTTCCTTGATTTAAAAAAAAAAAAAAGAAAAGAAAAAAAAAAGTGTCTGCATTACATTGCTTCTGTGTGTTGCTTTTATTCAGCACAGCCTGGTTCTGTGCTGTGACACGAGGGAGGGCTGCAGGTCTGTGTAAGCACTACCAGGGGCTCCAGAGCCTGCAGAAGTGCCGTGAGCAGCCCCCGTTCTCAGCACCTTGCTCGTACGGTGGCAGGCTTCTTGGCAAAAAGGACTATGTCCTCTGCTGAGTGTCCTGTAACCTGTATCTTACTGAGGCTTCCCAGTGGGAAGCCCCCTGTCTAGGCTTTGTTAGGCTAAAGCATTGCAGTGCTCGGAAGACTCAGCTCTGCCACAAGCAGAGGGTGAGAAGCTGAAGCTGCAGCCGTCCATGAGCCTCGCAATAAAAGGGACTGGATCGGGTCAGCTCAGCCCATGGGGACCCCATCAGGGCAGGCACACCACATAGTCAGAAGCTAAAATCAGGAAAAACACCACAGAACAAACACCTTGCCTGAGTGGCAACCTGCCAGGCATTTAAGGCACAGCACTTGGATTGCCCTTAAGGTGTTGATACGGCCATGAACACGCTGCCGGCGGTGCAGGCAATTCCAGCCTGCCCCTTACCACAGCTCAGAGGGAGCAATCCCATCGCTCAGCCGTGACTTTTCACAATGCGCTTGGGAATGAACACAAGTGCACGTGCTCACACAAAGTTTCTGGGCCACTGCTTTCCCAAGAAAATCTCCAGTAACTCATTAATAAGAGAAATGTGTCCCCGAGCCCAGACCTTAATTTGCTGTGGCTGAATGTTTGCATTTTTCCATTTCCTATTTGTGTTTTCCAGTTCCTATTCTCTGTTGAATTTACATACACCACAACAATCTGGGACGCCTCCTTGCTCGATCATTAGTTATAGTGCTTTGTGAAATTAATAACACTTTTTTTTTTTTTTCCCAACATATCTTAGAAAGGCTCCCGATTGCTTTTTCCATCCCCATTGTTCAGACTCTCCTAAACAGAGTCATTACTGTCATTACTGTCCCTGAGCCCCTACAGCTGCTACCACCCAGTCGAGTTCTATGATATTCCCTCCATCACTATAAAAAACAAACCCTGGAACTGCAGAAATCCATAAACAACTAAAGGCAAAGCACAAGTACTAATCAGCCAGCCTCTGACACTAACCAGAGGGAGGATAACAAAACCAGTGCATCTTTAATTAAGAGAAAGCAAGTCCAGCACTGGAAGTAGTCAAGGCCAGGAATTTCTGGCTCTGCCATTGCGCCTCTTTCTGGGGCTTTGGGCAAGGCAGTCAGCTCATATTAAATTTTGTATCCAAACAATGAGGGAAGTAGATGAGCTTTGCATCTTGTGAATGGCTGCTGTGAGGATGGATCACCTACCGCTGTAAAGAACTGGAAAGAGCAACCAATGCAGTATCGCATTTTGGAAGCAAATGTTTTGAATGTAGTTTTTCATACATGCACAAATGTCCCCCGCCAGGACAATAACACTGAAACGTAATGTATTCTGTTGTACAGAGTGAGCGAAAACATGCTTGTGTTGTGTGTCACTCGCTCAAGTTGTGCATACATTTGGCATTGTGGAGTCTAATTAAAAAAGGAAATACCTCTTATAAACCAAAGTAAATACCACACGAGTTGGCAACAGAAGTAGCTATAAATGCACTCAAAAGGGTTTCCTTCCCATTGCTATAAAGATTAAATTCCTCTCATTTGATTTTTCACTGTTAGCGCATTCCCATCCTAGAGCAGCTGGTGCTTTGTTGTGCTTTTTTTGCACCACAGAACCTGGGCACGGCCAGGAAACTTCTCCCGATCCCGTCCTTCCCAGCGATGCCACCTCAATTCCAGCAGCCTGAGGGCTCTCTGCTGCTGGGTCTCCACTGCCACCTCCTGAACAGGAAGGAAAATTGACTGCTTTCAAGGCCGCTTTTCTTTGGAATATCTGTGCAGGTGTTTCTGAAAGCACTGACTCCGTTCAGCACAAAGAGAGCAGTATTTGAAAGTCTGCTTTGTAACACGAAGAATACTTTCTATAAAATCTGTTGTAAGGCTTTTGGTTCAGTGTGAAATTTCTTTCATTTACTTCATGTATGCCTGATGTGAAGAAGGTATGACCTTTATACACCCCTTTTCTTCTTCAGAAAGGTTCATAATAAAAAGCTAATTATTCTTAGCTTCTGACAGATTTATTCCTCCTTCAGTCATCAGCCAAATACCTTTAACTTAAAACGGTAACTTTTAACCAGCTCCCATTCACCGCATTTTCATACTGAACAATAGTTGTTTCCACCCCCTTTTCAGTCTGAAAATCATTTTTCCTAACAGGTGAGAACCACAAAGCCCTAGCACCAAGTGTTTCCTACCTTTCAAGGTACGGTTATTTCTGCTACTCCCTTCAGCTACAACCTATTCTGTCCCAATAAGTGGGACTTCCCCAAACCGTCTCTGAGCTGCGGTACCCTGTAGGAGTGCCTGTTGTGTATTTACGTGGCAAGACAAAAACAGCAGAAGTGAGACTCTGGAAGAGGCAGTAAGGAAGGCAGACAACGTGCTTCTGTCACATCCCATCTCATCTGCCCTGCCAGCGACACGGGGCACTGGTTTGCCACCAGCCTTCCCATGGTAGCACTCCCTTGAGGTTGTCCTGGACACCCCTGAGACATCGCCCCCGTGGCAGGGAGCTGTGGGATGGGCAGGGAGCGGGTGCAGAGCCCTCGGTGTGTGCAGTGCTCCTGCATGCGGGTCCCCTGCCATGTGCCCGCTGTCTTGCCGTGTGCTTTGCTTCGTCCCTCCTCATCTCTCTCGTTGTTTGTGCTCTGAGAGCATGGCTAAGGCAGGGATGTATCGGTGGATGTTGGGAAGATGTTTTGCAGATGTTGGTGCTGTCTTTGTAAGTAATGGCCGCTCACTTACACGGTAAAATAGCAAACCAGGGGCACCAAGGCCATGCTGAGGTACGGTGAGGGCTGTGAGGTAACGAGGGCCTTTTAAAAACTGAGGGAAACCAAATGGCCATCAACGCTCTGTGTGTTACTTTCTCATCTTAAAAAAAGAGAAATGTGTTTTTCAATGTAGTGAAAAGCAGGTTTAAATGCTTATTTTACACTCGCTGGCGGGAGAACTTTAATGGAAGTTTTAGGAGCACAAAACCAAAGGTGCCTCTCCCTTTCGGTACCAAGCGCTTTGGGGGCTCGCTGCACACACACGGCTCGCTCAGTGCTGCGGTGTGTCAGCAGCAATTTCCCTGCTCAGTGCCATCTGACGGAGCTGCTTCAGAGCTCCCAGCCGGGACCGTGCCCGGGACCTTCCCCAGGGCCCCCTCAGGGCCCCCCCCCCTTCCCCTCAGTCCCCTCAGCGCCCCCCGCGCTCTGCCCCTGGGCTCCGCAGGGGGCGGGGCCGAGCCGTTGTGCGGCCGCGTGACGTCACCGCGCACGGCGCCGCCGGAGGTGGGCGGGGCGAGGAGGAGGAGGAGGAGGAGGAGGAGGAGGAGGAGGAGGAAGGAGCTGCGGGGCGCGGGGCGGCGGCCGCCATTTTGTTGGGGCGCGCAGGGCGGCCGCGGGGCTCGCTCGCCTCGGTGCTTAGCGGTAAGCGGCGGGCTCCTTCCCCCCGGAGGGGCTCCTTCTCCCTCCTTCCCCTCTCTGCTCCAAGCGGGGGGAGGCCGCGGGGCGCAGCGGCTGCCTGAGGGGCTGAGGGGGTAGTGGGGCCCTGAGGGGGCCGGGGCGGGGGCCGCGCGGGTACGGGCGGCTGAAGGGGTTGAGGGGGCTGAGGGGGCTGAGGGGGCCGGGGCCTGCCCGGGGGGGGCGGCGGGGCCGAGCCTGACCTCCCCCGGCCGGGAGGGGGCTGGGGGTGGCGGCTGGAGCTGGGCAGGGGCAGGGGGCGGCTGCTGGGGGCCTGCCCGTTCCCCCCCCCGGTTCCCAGGCCCGGCGGGCTCGGTGCTGGCGCAGCGAGGCCTTTGCCCTGCGCCGCCTGCCAGCTGCATTTTAAAAAGTGCTGCGTGTGCAGCTCGCCGCAGGGCCGCTGCGGCCTTCCCTGGGCGTTTTTTTTTATTATTATTTATTATTTTTATTCTACTTTTTGTGTGTGTGGGGGGGCCTTAGGGAGCCCTGTGGCACGGCGCGGGGGCGAGGGCGGCCCTCGAGCTGTGCCCGGGCCTGGCGCTGCGCAGGGCCGCGTGTGGGGAAGGCGGCTGGAGGCGTTACGTAACTGAGGCGCCTCAGCAGAAATTTAGAGGAAGGGCATTTTTTTTATTTTATTTTTTTTAATCTAAGATGGATCCTACTGTAAAATGGGTTTTGGCCGCTTTGGGCCTCGCACAGATCGATTTTCTAACAATTACTTGCCAGTTTGCATTTGCTTGGCTCCTTTAGCCAAGAACATGCAAATTCTGTCTAGATTT